CTTTGGTTGTTCCAACTCTGTGCAAGGCTAACTTGAGCTTGACCATGAATACAATACTTATACTTACTTACCCTAATTTTGAACCAAGAAAAAGAAAATGGACAAAACAAAGAGATATTGAAAACTTTGTTTCACTACAGTCAATATAAAATAGAGAATAAATGGTCCATGGTTGAAATTCAAATTTGTGTATGCTTCACTTGAATTGTTTACATATAAACATACACCTTCACCTAAATACACGTAAAACCCACAACCCTCAACTTCCATAATGTTACTCTGTAGTTGATGACCACTGTCATTACTGTAGCAACCATAAGCTCAAAAATGAAGAAACATTGTATCGACCTCAGAGATAGCATAGTCAGTTAATTGTCATAATGGTAACAATTACAGAGACATTGGTAAAGTGCTACAACTTCATTCATATGCTATTTGTAGAATTTTGGTTAGCTTGCCAGTGGTCTGACACACAAGTAGGCTAGTGTATCCAAAAGCTAACTGATTTGAGTCATTTCATGGAGAAATACATGGGTGAATAAAGACCACTCATGCAAATGTATTAGGCAGGTCCATTCTAGTGAAATGGACCAATCTAACTGGTGTATTAGGCACTCTCCTATAAAATGAGGTAAAATCAGCTGGCTTGCTTTACACAAGAAGGCAGCCACATTGGTAGGTAAGTCACTTGACTTCTACACTATTGTTATTATATCTACCATTTGTCTATGCATTGAATACTGCTGCTATGTCTGTTGTGGTTGTCCTGTTGTTTATCTCAAAGAAGATAGGAGACACAGTGGAGTAATGGATAGCGACTTGGATTGAGGAATCGGAGAGCCGAGTTCGAATTCCAGTCGAATCCATTACATTCACTTACGTGCTAACACCCTTGGGAAAGGTGTGAATCCTCTTTCTTCTCCCTCCAGCATTTAAATAGCAGGACAGACTGAGTTCTATAGCCTTGGATGGCAACTGGTCTAGGACCAATAAAAACTCTGAATTCAAACCTGCTCTTAGAATTTTATGAATGGAGTCTCTCTGATTTGGTTGGCAATCCATTTAGTGTTGGTATCACGATAAAAACACCCTTGATAGCCCTAGCGAAGCATCAAGAATTCATCTATTTGACAAGGTTATGAACTACATCAATCAAAGTATTGGTGAGTTCAATCTCGGCTGAGGCCACAAGATAATGATGATGATGATGTTTATCTCAAAATACTTAACAAAATTTTAAAAAATCTGTAATGTAATTGATCCTGTCCTGGCATCGCCACTTCAGCCACTTTCTCACTGATATAACATGGCTTCTCTCTGTCTTTTTTACACATATTTTTGTGGTAGCAATTGTTCTGATGAGTGTCTCTCCTAATGCAGTGAAAAAAATGAAAAAAAACGTGCCTCATGTGTGCAGCAGAAAAAAAAGGCTCAATGAAAATGACAATAAAAGATTTAGAAACAGTTTAAAAAAATTAATTTGCATTATATCCACAAATTGGAAAAGAAATTGATTTGATAATGTTCAACAACTTTTGAGAAGTTAAACACATCATTTTTTTATCACATAATTTAATCATAAAAGACCAACAAATTTTAATTCTGAAAATGCATCCCAGAGAAAAAAAAATTTTGGAACTACTGCCTTAGTGTCTTAAATGCATAAATTTAAGTATACTACTAGACTGACAACTCGGTCTCACCATTTTACTGTTGAACTAGTAAGATCCAACAGTATGTTCTATTCTTATAGTTTCTTTTCTCACACTTCTTACCTGTGGAACTCCCTTTCAATTCCTTGCTTCCCTGCCACCTACAATCTTCAAAAATTTAAATACAATGTCAATCGTCATCTTCTGTCTTCATGAACTATGTTCTTTTATTGACCATTCCTCACTTCTCATCATTAAAGTCCCTGTAAAGCCCCTGTGTCCTAGTGACAATATCACCTTGTTTGGTTGTTTGGTTGGTTGTTTTGTTTTATGGCATATCAACCTCGGTGAGTCATTTAATGCCAACAAAATTTTTGAAATAGATTCATAGCAATTGTTTGGTAAAAAAGGTGTGTATGTATACATATAGATTTGAACCATTTTTCAATTACTCATATTTTTGAGAACAATCATATGTATTGCTGGTAATGATTTTTTACAAAGTATTTCTGGTATTAAAACCTATTTTTACACTTTTATAATGCTTTTTACCCCAGTTTTGGGGTTAACTATTTGCCCATAGCTGGGACCCTAACAGGTGCTACCACCCTGAATCAGGGTGTACCTGAGACCACCAGCAATTAAAAAGTAGTTCCACGCACCTCAAAACCTCCTTAGGAGAGGCCTTGCTGTTGGACGTAGTTTATCGTCTTACCCTGGACGCGGATGTAGTTTAACGTCATACCCAGGAAGCATCACCTTGCTTGGAGTGAAATGATTAAAAATTAGTCCTCAAAAGGAAGGAACATAGCTCAACTATGGAATGTTCTTGATCTGGTACCACATAAGAGATTTCCAGTCACCATGAAAATTTCAAATATAGGAATGAAAAATGGAAAATGTCAGTTGACTACTCAGAGAGATTAAATAGAATGAAAATTATTAATACCATTTCTCAAAAGTGATATAATCATGAACAGAATTCTTATTCTTTTTTTCTTCTTCTTTTTCTTCTCATTCTTCTTTGCTTCTTTCTTTTTTTTTATTTTTACTTCTTTTCTTCTCCCTTTTCTTCTTTTTTCTTCTCTTTCTTTTTTTTTCATACTTTTTTCATTTTCCTCTTCTCCATCTTCTTTTTTCTTCTTCTTCCTCTTCTTGCCATGTCACTTCAAGACATGGGTGATCATGACTCTTCACAATTTTTTTATCTTTTAAAGCTCTTAATTATAAAGAAAACAGACAAACCTTTAAGGTTGTAATGAGAATTTACTCAAAGCAATTTGACCACTGCACATATGTGACATTCAGCCATCACATTTCATAGTAGAATAATTTGAGTGGGGTGACAATTATGGTTGCCTTCACCACAGTAATGTTTGTCATTTTGCCATAAATTTTACCAACTGTCATTCTCCCATCCATTCACACAAGCTTGTCAAATAGGTGGCCCGCTGCCTCACCAAGTTTCATATGACTGAGATATATCCTATGAGTCTCAAATTTTCCAAGCCCTCCTTCCTCATGTGTCAAAGAAATTTCAAATGTCTCTTTCTGAGTCTGAGTATAAGTGTCCTTTTTGTTTCTATTTTCTTTAAGAAAAAAAAAAACATGAGGAACCATTTAGTTCTTAAAATTCTTGACTTATCAAAAAATTAAAAAGAAACTCTTGTATTTGTCACACAGTACATATGCAGATGTATAAAAAAAAAGGGAAAATAGAAATTGTTCATTGAATATCAAAAAGCTTCATATAAATCTCTAAACTGATTTAAATTCAATTTTAAGGATTGAGTTTTGAATAAAAACAACTGGAAAGGTCACTTCCACTCCTTTTCTTCCTTTTTTTTTTCTTAAGTGATTATAGCAAATCAGAACTTTATCTGTTTTGAACTATGCATAACTACCAGCTGAGCAATTACCTCATTGCATGACAAAAACCCCAAAACAACAAAAGTACACGATGATTCAAGATGGTAAACCAATTATCTTGTACGACATTTATTTCTAGAGAGACTTCTCTATGGTTACATCACAGACCCATCACTGACTAGAATGGCAGCAGCAGACACTTGGGCATGTCAGACCTAAATTTTATCATTTCATGGGTCCTCCATGTTGTCCATCTCCTTCTACAAAAATGCAATTTTGCTTTCATATAAACTGACATCAATTTCTTCAATGTCCTTTTCAATCTATTAAAGCTTGCCTTTATAAACACGATATTGGCAATTTTTTTTACTCTAGATGTGGGAGGTGAAGGGGACACAGGGGAGGAGAGCCAAGGAAGGAAAAAAGAAATAAAAATAGGAAAGAAATAAAAAAAAAAGGAAAATGAAGAAAGAGGAGAATTAAATGTAAATAAAGAGTTATAAAAAATGAAGCAAAAAGGAGAGATACTACAAATTCACTAGAAATCAAAACAAACTTTCTTTTTTTTTCTCTAGAAGAGATAGGAAAATCAAAGGAATTGAGAAGGAAAAAAGTCTCCACTAAAATCAAAAGAGGAAAGAGAGAAAGTAGCAGCAAGGAATTGAGAAAAAAGAAAGTAAAGAAGAACAAGAGATGGGAGCAGCAAGGAATTGAAAAGAAAAAAGGAAAAAGATAGAGGAGAGGAAGGAAAGATGGGAACAGTAAGGAACTGAGAAGGAAAAAAGAAGGAAAAAAGAGAGAAAGGAAAGAAATGATAGATGGGAGCTGAAAGGAATTGAGAATAAAAAAAGAAAAAAGATAGAGTAGATTTTCTTTCTTTGGGAGGTAAGGAATTGAGAAGGGAAAAATTTCACTAAAAGAGAAAAGGAACAGCAAGATTTTAAGAAGAAAAGAAACTAAAAGAAAAGAAAGAAAGAAAAGAGGAATGAGAGATGGGAGCAGCAAGGAACTGAGAAGAAAAAGACAAAGGAGAGGAAAGAGAGATGAGAGCAGCAAGGAATTGAGAGAAAAAAGAAAAAGAGGAATGAGTAATGGCAGCAGCAAGGAATTCAGAAGAAAAATGAAGGAAAAAAGATAAAGTAAAAGAGCTGCGAGCATCAATGAAGAAAGATAGAGAAGAGGAAGGAAATAGGGAAGTAGCAAGAAGTTTGGAAGAAAAAAGGAAAGAAAAAAGTGGCTGCAAAAAAATATCCACTTTCTTTTCTTTCAAGATAAAAACTTTCTTTCAAAATGAAAAGAATGATTGTGAATGAAAATCTTTTTCTTTCTTTAAATGAAGAGTAATAAAAACTAAATCAAAGAAAAGTAAAGATTTTGAAAGTGAAGAAATTAAATTCAAGAAGAATCAACAAAAAAAATGAAGAAAACAGAAAGAAACCTTTTCTACTAAGTACATTTGCTTTTTTAGGATATTTGCAAATGAAGCTTTCATTCTCTTACCTCATTCCTTTCTTATTTACCCAGTATTTTTCTCACCTTCCTATCCTTGATTTCCCTTGTTTTTCTTTTATTTATAAATCAACCTTTTTTTCCATTTTAATACCATGCTCTTCTATTATCTTTATTTCTTTTTTCTTTCTTTTCGAGCAGTATTTCTTTCTGTCACTTATTTTTCATTTTCTTCTTTATTCTAATCATATTTCCTTCTTTTTCCTTCTCCTATATTGCTACTTTCATGCCTTCATCATACGTCAATTCTCTTTTCTTTCTTTTGATCTTTCTTTCTTTCTTTTCCCATATTGTTACATTCTGTTTTTGTTAATCACCCTAAATCCTTCCTAAAGTTTTCCTTTCTTTTCCCTTTTCTTTCATTTCTTTCTTTTTCCCTTTTCCCATATTGTTACATTCTTTTTTGTTAATCACCCTAAATCCTTCCTAAAGTTTTCCTTCCTTTCTTTTTTTCTTTCTTTTCTAATATTGTTACATTCTGTTTTTTGTTAATCACCTAAATCCTTCCTAGTTTCCTTCTAAAATTTCTTTCTTTCTTTTTTTTCTTTTCACTAATATCAACCTTTACATTCTTTTTTTTGTTAAATCTCCCCTAAATCCTTCCTCTTTTTTTTCCTTCCTTTCTTTCTTTCTTTTCTTTCTTTTCCCATATTGTTACCATTCTGTTTTTGTTAATCCCCCTAAAATCCTTTCTTTTTTTTTCCTACACTTTTTTTTCTTCAACCTTTCTTTCTTTTTTTTCCCATATTGTTATTCTTTCTTTCTTTTTTGTTAATCACCTAAAAATCCTTCCTAGTTTTCCTTCCTTTCTTTCTTTTCTTTCTTTTCCCATATTGTTACATTCTTTTTTTTTGTTAATCACCCTTAAATCCTTCCTAGTTTTCTTTTTTTTTTCTTTTCTTTCTTTCTTTCCCATATTGTTACATTTCTTTTTTGTTAATCACCCCTAAATCCTTCCTCTTTTTTTCCTTCTTTCTTTCTTTCCTAATTTCTTTTCTTTCTTTTCCCATATTGTTACATTCTGTTTTTTTTAATCACCCTAAATCCTTCCTAGTTTTCCTTTTTTTTTTTCTTTCTTTCTTTTCTTTTCTGCTCCATATTGTTACATTTCTTTTTTTGTTAATCACCCTAAATCCTTCCTAGTTTTCCTTTCTTTCTTTTTGTTTTCTTTCTTTCTTTTTTTCCCATATTATTGTTACATTTTGTTTTTTTAATCACCCTAAATCCTTCCTAGTTTTCCTTCCTTTTTTTCTTTCTTTCTTTTCTTTTCCCATATTGTTAATTCTGTTTTTGTTAATCACCTTAAATCCTTTTTCCTAGTTTTCCTTCCTTTTTTTCTTTCTTTTTTCTTTTTTTTTTCCCATATTTTTACATTCTTTTTTGTTAAATCACCCTAAATCCTTCCTAGTTTTCCTTCCTTTCTTTCTTTCTTTCTTTTCCCATATTGTTACATTCTGTTTTTGTTAATCACCCTAAATCCTTCCTAGTTTTCCTTTCTTTCTTTCTTTCTTTCTTTCTTTTCCCATATTGTTACATTCTGTTTTTGTTAATCACCCTAAATCCTTCTTTTTTTTTCCTTCCTTTCTTTTAAAATTTTTTCTTTCTTTTTCCCATATTGTTACATTCTCTTTTTGTTAATCACCCTAAATCCTTCCTAGTTTTCTTTTTTTTTTCTTTCTTTTTTTTTTTTTCCATATTGTTACATTCTTTTTTTGTTAATCACCCTAAATCCTTCCTAGTTTTCCTTCCTTTTTTTTTCTTTCTTTTTCTTTTCCCATATATTTACATTCTGTTTTTGTTAATCACCCTAAATCCTTTCCTAGTTTTCTTTTTTTTTCTTTCTTTTCTTTTCCCATATTTTTACATTCTGTTTTTGTTAATCATTTTAAATCCTTCCTAGTTTTCCTTCCTTTCTTTCTTTTTTTTTCTTTTCTTTTCCCATAAAATTTACATTTTCTTTTTTTTTAATCACCCTAAATCCTTCCTAGTTTTCCTTTCTTTCTTTCTTTTCAACCTTTCTTTTTTTTTCCCATATTGTTACATTCTGTTTTTGTTAATCACCCTAAATCCTTCCTAGTTTTCCTTTCTTTCTTTCTTTCTTTCTTTCTTTTCCCATATTGTTACATTCTGTTTTTGTTAATCACCCTAAATCCTTCCTAGTTTTCCTTTCTTTCTTTCTTTCTTTCTTTCTTTTCCCATATTGTTACATTCTGTTTTTGTTAATCACCCTAAATCCTTCCTAGTTTTCTTTTCTTTCTTTCTTTCTTTCTTTTCCCATATTGTTACATTCTGTTTTTGTTAATCACCCTAAATCCTTCCTAGCTTTCCTTCCTTTCTTTCTTTCCTTCTTTCTTTCCCATATTGGTGCTTTTTGTTTCTGTTATTCATCCTATATCATTCCTCCTTCTTTCTTTCTTTCCTACATACTTTATTTATTTATTTATTTCTGTTTCATCTCCTTTTGTCTTATTCTTCTACAATCTTCGATCTTAACTTTTTTCATTGGAATTTATTTTTAAATGTTGATACAAGATCAAGGTACAATGGGAAAGTCAAAGATAATTCTATTTTTAACCAATCAGCAAGTCCTTATTCAAGAAAAAAATATCAATGATGGTAACTACAATTAGACCAGCATATTGGCCGCATGTCCACAGTCATTACTGACCAAGTACTCTTCTCAGATTTTTCCCAGGTCTGTATCCTCCATATTCCGAAAAGTTCCTGATATGGTTTAAATTTCTTAACAAAGCCCAAGGTCAAAAGTGATGAACACCAAAGATGAAATGGTACCATCAACAGGGAGCAGTTGAACAAATGGCATATTGTTTCATTTCAGAAAATTGTTAAACCAAAATATCTGCAATGCTATAGGACAAAAAGAGGGCATTCTATACTCAAATTTTCAACACAAGTCTTTCTTTTTTTAAATCAGAATAAAATGGATGGAACTATAATGAATCAATTGGGTGGTGCTGGAGAGATTTATGTTGCTACAGCCAATATTTCATAGAAGCCTTTTTATGAGGGTCAATCAATAGGTTCATTGACTGACACAGTATTTAACTGAATTTTGATCTGAAATTTTTTACTGTATAAGGTTCAATCTTAATACTGTCTTAAAATCCAAACATGTTTTATCTACAAATAATCCATAAAGAGTTGATAGGTCATAAGAAAAACAATCAATCAGTAAACTACCATATCTGTTACGGAGAACTGTGTAGTAGGTCCCTTATCACATTCAAAACTGCCTGCAATCATTGCAAGAGAATTCATAGAATTAAAAGAGTAGCTACAACTAGTGTCACAATCATTGTCTAACATCGATGACAAATGATATTATCTTGGGAGTTTTTTTTGTTTTATGACATATCAACTTCAATGGGTTATTTAATGATGTCCAGATTTTTATTGCTGGAAATTTTTTTTTTTTTTGCATTGTTGGTTTATTTTTTCTTCAAAATTTTTGAGACTGGTAATAAATTTTTTTCAAAAATGCATTCACTATTGTAAATTAAAACATTATTTTATACTTAATTCAAAGTGTTTTAACCCCAGCTTGGGAGTCAACTATTTGCCCATAGCTAAGACCTTTTTTACTTTTTTTTTAAATTTTTTGGTGGATCTGGGAACACCAGCAATTAATTTTTTTTCCTATGCCCATCAAAACCTCGTTAAAACATTGGACATAGTTTATTATATTAAAGAATGCCAAATTTTTTAGTTCTAATGAGTTCTGGAAAATCTCAAAGAAAATTTTCAATAGAGGCAAAGCATCAGTGCCTACTATTGTAAATAGCCCAGAGGTTATTTCATCCTCATAAGATTATGCTAGGTACTTTGCAATGAACTTTGCTAACTCCATGTTACATAGCAAGGGTCATCCTCTACAATTTCCCCCTTCTAATGGAGTTCAGTTGTAATGGTAATTCTAATATTAGCCGTTTCCTTATAAGGAAATATAAAGAATTCATTGACCAAGCAGCAAATACTGCTTTCAGTAGAAATTTATCATATCTTTCTCTTAAAACAATTTTTCAGGAAAATAGGTTTCTCATGTTCAGGGACTGTTATTGCTTTTTCCATTATTGATTGGGGCTTCCTTTATAGCTTTTTGTTTGAGATAATGTGAAACATCCACATCTTCATTATGTCATTATTCTCTCTTTGAATTACATGTTCTATCCATTTTAGTTGTTGCTGCTGTTGAAAGTCTTCAAGTGACGTGGTTTCTGTTATTTAATACAGTTCTTTATGATTCTGTATTACCAGTCTATGAGGTTTGAAAAAAGATGGCCTTTAGTGAGACCTACATGCTCCACTCACTCAAACCTATTTTTAATCTTGGAAAGCAGTTGCATACAGCCAACAGTTTAGATATTTTCTGAATGAGTTTGGCACCATGCATGTCATCCATCTGAATGTCTTGAGACTATGAGACTATTTAAGAATATGACTAGTTTTTAGGTCAAAGTTTTGTTTTCATAGCAACTTGCTGCAACTTTGTAATATCCCTATCACAATGGTTTCCAAGTCTATAAAAGATGTCAACTGTCTGCGGTTTTCAAGAATCTAGGTGAGAGTTCATCTCCTTTGTAATATCATCATCTTAATGTGATCAGAACATTTTTTGAGTCTATGATCAACAAGGCTATTAATCACCTCAAGAGAAACAACCACCTTAGTGACATTATGGACTTCACACTTCTAGGTCCACTAATGATGTTCTATCATGAAGGTCATTGTTAATGGCCAGTTTTCTAAAGCCCATGAGATCAATGCAGGCATTCCTAAAGGCTCTCTTCTTAGCTCTATTCTCTTTCTGCTTCAAATTAATTATCTGCATAAGAATATACCCAGATGATTAGTAATTATCTATGAAGATGGTACAACAGTTGTGTAGGTGCATCTCCAAAAAACTAGATGGAGTCTGGCAGTTGATCTCTCCTCTAACTGAACTCTAAATAGCTCAATGGTGGATGGAAAACTAGCTTGGAATATTAAATACCTCCAAAACCAAACTGGTATTATCATCACCAAGCTGACCCTGAATTTTTAACTATCGGAGTGAATGGTTGAACTCTCAAGATGGTTCCTTGGTTTGCATGTCTATTGGGACTCAAGCTCACCTCAGTCCTCATGGAACTTGTATATCAAAACCATCACAAAATATTCTGGCAAAAATGGTTGGTTCCTTGTGCTACTTCAAGAAGCACCTGACTCATCATATTCTGTTCCAGATCAAACCAAAAATGAATTATTGCTGCCATATCTGGACCGGAGCTACCCAGTTCTCACTTTCTAACTTTGACAAAATTCAAAAGCATTTATGTGGCCTTGTAGGTGATGAATTATTTTTCACTCTCCAGCCCCATTCCTCCAGAGGGAATGTCACAAGCCTCATTCTCCCCAGCTTTCATCTCTCCTAGTCTGACACAAAATCATCCAGGTGACTGGGTCTCATGACAATTCTCTGGGATCATCTCAGTGACAGCTGATCTGGGCTTTCAGGTGTTACAGGAAGAGTCAGCCAGAAGTATTCTGTCTCATACTGTTTTTGTCTCCTTTTTGGAGTTGGATACTCTGATTCTGAAAGCTGATTATCAGAGTCAGTGGTAGTATGCTCTCATTTTGAGGGAGCTGTTCTATTGTTGATCTCTGAATCATCACTATCAGGGCCTTGTCCCTCAGGAGAATTCAATAGCATTGTTTTGTCATTACTATCAAGAGGGAGAGATATTGCTTCAGGAGAGAGCTGCTCCTTCCTCTGATTTGATAACTCACCAGCAGTGGCCAAATCTCTGCGGCTTCTTGGTCTCACGTTGACTGCTGACCTGAGATGGAATAAATACATTGAGTCAATTGCCTCGTCCACCACAAGGAAAGTTGGCTCCCTGAGCCGCGCCAGGAAGTTTTTGTCCCCGGAGTCTATCCTCCAGATCTACAAATCAACAATTCGCCCTTGCATGGAGTATTGCTGCCATATTAGGTCTGGTGCCCCTTCTGTTTGCCTCGGGGTTCTTGATAGGCTCCAGAGGTGGATATGCAATATATAGTTGGACAAATCCCTGGCGTCTTGTCTACAGTCACTTTCTCACAGACGCGCCGTCGCCTCCCTCTGTCTGTTCTACAAATACTTTCATGGAAATTGCTCTGAGGAGCTGCATTCGCTGGTTCCCAGACATCACGAGTTCCAGTGCCTTACGAGGCTGGCATCCCGCTCTCACCCCTTCACTGTTGAAACTCCTAAATATAGCCGTCTCTTCTACTCTAATAGCTTCATGTCTTGCACCTCTTGCCTGTGGAACTCCCTTCCCTATTCCTGTTTCCCTGTGAGCTATAATCTTCAGCTATTCAAGTGTAATGTCAATCGACATCTCCAATTGCCTTGATCTATCCACTACCCTCATCCTTTCTTCTAACACTCGTATCTTATCTTGCTCTAAACTTTCTGTAACCCCTTGTGTCCTAGTGGCTTCCTGCCTTGCTTGGGGTGAAATGCTAAAAAAAAAAAAAATCTCTGAGAGAAACATTTGATTGTTTCCCAAGGGGGTGTTGGATGCGCACATAAAGTGGGTTCACCTCGAGCAGTGCCAACTTACTCACAGGAGAATTATACTTGCTTTGTTGAACATGGTTTGTAAGTAAAACAGTACCTGGCTGTGAGAGCCACAAAGAGAGGGCGATCCCAGCCCAACTTTGCCTTAGAAATTTTAAAAACCTTTCATGAGGTGTTACATTAGTTCTTGGACACAATAGCGTCCTTAGAGCATACAGAGCCTCTCACAATGTTCATTCCCTTGAGGATAGTATGGGGTAATCTAGCTTATGGCCACTCTCTATACCAATTGGATCAGACAAAATGAGGTCCCATGATCTGTATGAATATAAGCTGGCACTCTGAATATTGAAAACAGTGAGCAAAGATAACATATGACCGTTGTTGAACTTATATCTGGACAAGAAAATGCAAAAGGGAATTGTGAGTACTTATCAACAACAGTAGATGTTTGTTTCAGGATTTAGATAGAAGAAGCCATGCCCAGCCTCTCAAATGGCTGTGTAGCTTTTACTAGGGTTCCCAGTTCAGGTTTGTAGAACCTTGGTTTTATTCGAGTGCAAATCTGACAACCGTTTGTTATTCATTTCACATTCTCAACTGAAAAAGGCTAATCCGGCTTTGAACCACATGCAACATTTTCATGATGCCTGGATGACAGAGATCGTTATGAACTTTTTGTAGAACATTGCTGCTGTTTATTGATCCACCCACTCTTGACAGCATGTGCACCATTGCATTTTCCTTTCCCGATTGATAGAAAACACTAAACGAAAAACAGAAAAGCTCTACTCTCCATCTCGCTATCTTTTCATTTTTATTTTGATTGACATCTTGGGATAAACATAAAAGAGACTGACTTTTGATCAGTGATTAATTTAAAGCAATAACCAATTAAGAAATGTCGCCATTTTTTTTTTTTTTGCACCTT